GTTCGTATGTAGGCGGAGTAGACTGAACTACTGCTGCCTTGAGGGCAGGCGCCACAGCCGACGGCTCGCTCTGCGCAAGCTGAAGCAGTGGCGATGGCTGGTGCGACGCTACCCCCGGAGGCGCCGCATCAGCATATGATTTTGGGCCATAGAATAGCGAGACCCTTCTTCTTGCTCCTTTGAATGAAGTGTTTCCCTTCACTTTCAACGTGCTGATCTCTTTCTCTTTCTTCCAGAATAGATATGACCGTGAGTATGAGGCATGAATTTCATCACAGTTGACGCAGTGTGCCAGTTCTGTGAAGGTAACGGAGGTGTGACCCGAAACTCCGCATTGTGCACAAGTTTGTCGGCCACGACAGCTTTGCGAGCCGTAGACATATATCTGAATTGAAAGCATCGTCGCGGGTTATGTAGGTATGGTCGAACACGAAGCTTTGTGCACCCGGTTGTGAGTGTTTTGGGAAGGATGCTGGAGCCAAAGGTAATGATTATATGTTTTGTTGGAGTCTCTTTGCCATTTCGCTTCATCTTGAATCTCTGTACATTAATTACATTCTCTTTTTCTAGCCTTCAAGAAGTTCAGCATCTGTCAAGTCAACTAGGTCATCCTCCAATACTACTCCTCGGACTGTGTTCATCGAACGATGTGCTGAAACAGTGATGAAAACATCACCAAAAGTCTTCAAACGGGATAACTTATCATATTGTTCTTTGTCTCGAACTTCAATGAGAAGGTCACCACTGGCCATTTTTGTACCTTTGTACCCTGCTCCTAGTGTGTCTATTAGGCACCTTGAAATTAGAAACGGTGAAAGTTTTCTGACAGGTTTTGCTGGTGTGTCACTGTGGATAACGTGGTAGCGTGAAAAGTTGTTTTTGTTTAGTTGGAATAGCTGACAGCTTGCTTCTGTGCGCACCCTGTTCAGGGAGCGATCAATAGAGGGTTGGAAGTTTTTGGTCATAAAATATGGAGTGTGTTCTAAATTATTGCAAAATTTAGATCTCAAACGATCTAAATTAGTCTAACAATGACTTTCGCGTAATTGCAGCTTCCACGCAACTCTAGTTTTTCCCAAAATTGTAGCAAAGCCTAAATATGTTTTTGTAGCTTTTCAATTGTTTTTATAATGTTTAGCTTAAGTGTTTTTTTCTTGGTAATGTGTCACCAGTGGTAGCATTACTCGCGACCGATGATTGTTTCACAGAACGTTGTTGCTCCCTCAGCGTAGTTTGATTGCTTAGCATCGCGAAATGAATTGAAGTATTTTCACTTGCTTTCTTTGTACTAGTTTTCTCAGCCGACACAATTCTACGCAACCCCGTGTTCCGGGCACGTGCAGATATTAAATGGATAAAGAACTTGTGAGAATTCATTCTCTCAGCTTTCTGAGTCTACCAGCAAGTGGCCTGGGATAATCTACTATGTGTGGCTGTCGCTTAGAATGTTGAAAGAGTTACCAGTCTGGTGGTTAAATGTGTAACATATTAATCTCCACTAGATAATGAGTGCAGTGCGTGTTTTGATGTAAAAGTGTTTTAGCAAGGTTCTGATGTTATACGCGGATACCGCTGCAATCATTGGGTCAATTTAAAAAGTGCAGTACTCTTGAGCGTGCAGGGCAGAAGCGGAATGCATGTTTCATCAGAAGGTAAGGTGCAAACTAAGAGACGTTAACTTAGAAGCGTGGCGGTTTGGGCTAGTTGGCATGACATGATGATTGTTATAGCGCGAGAGCAAAACTATGACGAAAGGACAAGCGCTCGACTTCTCTTGTCCCTTCGCCGTCGTTCTGCTCTCACGCTATAACAATTGTCATTGTTAGAAGACTGTAAGACAATGCGACATCGAGACAAAGAGTAAGAAACGGGGTGAGTTTGCAAAATGACTCGCAGAGCTGGAGACCCTATTTGAAAGCAGAACGTGATGCCCGAAAACTCATACTGACTTGTCTAAAATAGCTTTCAAAATTGCCCTCACCTTCCCGAAGGAAATGGTGAGGAAATGCGAATGCATTTCTTGCGCTAAAAATACTGCCGTAGTAGTTTTAAAGGCATAAATTAATGACGATACGAGGATTTGTACCGTAACCGTTTAATTCCACATTCATCAGCTAGAGAACGGTCGACAGTGAGGTGCGTGCTTCACTCGATTTATAAATACGTATCAGTGAGCGGACGGGTGATTGGGGCGCAGGGAGGAGAGAGAGCAAACGGCGAAATGAGTGGTGAAGCACTTCACCTACGCTCTTCTAGACTGCCTCCACTCTATCGGGAGCTCCACGGAGCTCCCGCGGTGCTGGTGCTCTCAAACGCCAAAGCGCGTTTCTCGTCACAACTCGCTCTCCGCTACTCCGGCCGCACCGCCTGCTCCGGCTGTTAGCGGTAAAGATAAGCGCGCGCGCCCGCAGCTGCTGCTATAGGAGAGAGAGTGAGAACGGAGAGATAACAGCTGACGGGGCGTGGACGCCGCAGGACACCTGACATAGCCCGACTAAGAAAGGCATTCGCATTTAAAACATCTTCTGAGTATCAACCAACTCAACGAACGATAAATGTGGGAGTGCAGTAGGTGGATGCACATGTATCCATCATAAATGAAGCATAAAGAGTATTTCAGAGGAGAAGGCAGGCGCAGCAAGATCACGGCTTTTTGTGATTGCGATGGCATTTCAGTGTAGTGGCAGGTACTAAGAATACTGAATAGTATCTTCCAACAAAACGGGACACTGGCGTATATTTGAAAAAAGTCCACGCACTAAGGCTTGGGTGCTGTTGAAGCTTGAAAATTTTTTGATGTGCCTTGGTACCAACGGTTTCGCTGAAAGGACTGTGGAGCATTTATTAACACTAGGCAGCAATGGCTTTAGGTGTTCCTGAACTAATAATTGCTGAAACTTACCTTAGCAATTACAAATGACCACCATAGGACACTGTTATAGAACACAGAGTCACGCAAGCTTTTACAAAGTTCACACCGTGGATGAAAATGCACAGTAACAGTTGTATAAGATTTCTTACTGAAGTCCACGTCCACGATTTGAAAACACTAGCTATGGTCGAGAAGAAACGGGCAACAACGCAACAACACTGGTGAACACCGACTAAATGCGGTGTGTGTGTGTGTGTGTGTGTGTAGACCATGTTTGGAACTTCGATGCTGCGCATCAGTAGGCCGTTCAATGTGACACCGTCATACTGCTCGTTTCGCAGAAATTTCGGGAGCCTATCAGCACGATATCTGTGGCGTTGTACTCCGCGGTGAACATAAGATTACAGTATATATTTTGAGCCAAGTATGACGTTCAGGATTCATCGTAACAAACTATGCAGAAACCCTGGGAGGCTCAAAAGGCATCGGGACAGAATATAGGCAAGAACGCACGCATGGCCTGACTTCAGCCTATGGCAGTGGTTTTAATCTCAAAGTTCGTCATTCATGCATAAACAGGAAAGAACACGTTTGCTCCGTTTAGCCTTTTTATCAAAAACGCTGTTTCTACAGTGATAAAATAGCCGCCGCCACATGTGATCTGAAACACCCCTCTTGATTTGTATCACTCATCGAGCATGAGATGAAATCTGCTAAACTAGAAAAACATAGAAGCCAATGACGGCTTTGCAGGGAATATATATGGGCTTCTGCATGAAGTCAGGGTGTTGGATAAAGTGCCTTCTTTATACTCCGTATGTCCACTATGCCTACCGTGTACTACTATAAGTTTAGAGGTGTTCACAGCAGTGGTTGCTGTTCATAGAATGTGTTTCTTCACGAATCAAGAGACCTGGCTTAGGAACTGTTTATTATTAGTGTTTAGAGCTCTGAAAAGAGTGCCTTGTTCCTATTCATTATTTGGGTGGCAGCTTCAGTGCCTAAATAATTAAATATGTTGCAACTCAATTCTCAAGTCCTCATGAAAGCGGGAGAATCTTTACATAAATTAGTAATTAACATCTCTTTCTTGGTACTGACGCTGAGAAACACCTGACACTGATCGTAAGTGCTTTTTGAAATTTATGTGCTATTGCAAAACATGAAGTAATCTAAAACTGTTATGCAACATAGGCGACGTACGCAATTAGCGCAGAAAAATAGCAGTGTTTTCTCCACAAGTGTTTTCTCCTCTGAACAACGTTGTGTATTCTAATTTTTGATTACAGTGCACGCAAGTTGCTTATGACAGGGCCATTGTTTTATTTCTTTGAAGAGACACGTTATCCGGTATCAGACAAGTGATTGTTAGTCTGAGGACAATTCAAAAAGGGGCATGAAATTGTGAGCCAAGATAAAAAACCTATACCGGTGCTCCACCATGGTGGAATTTGAAAGGGTGCGTAACAATTGTACGCAACAATTTCCGTTTGTGGAGTTTCCACCACTCCTTTTACCAAAACATCGCTGAAGCTATTGTTGAAAAAATAAACATCTGAGACTTCCCCAATAGGAGCGTTAGGAAGATTAGCGCTCTCAGTGTGTGAAATTGCGCTACATTTTCCGCGCATTATCTTGTACCTATTTTGTTACGGCTATTGAGATATACGTCGCGTGCAGTTACTACAGCGACTTGCGCACCTGGCCGCGGAGGCGACGTTCAAGAAGCAGGGGCATTTGCTGTCTCAGCGGGGGTGGTGGCGCTTTCTCATGCACCCGCCTAGAGTCATTCCAGGCGTATTAAACGCATTTTCAACATTTTTATGCAAAGTGTTGATAATACGTGATCATTATATCTGATACTTGTATCTCTTCAAGCCTTATTCGTCCTACCAAGCCAAATTTGAGTGTTTATCCACCTTGTAACGGTATGTAGTGCGTGATTTTACGGTGAGCGTAATCACACCTCAAGAGATGGATGGAGAAGAAGCTGAGCGCCTCAAGTGCGCCACATTCTAAAGCAATAACTCGGCAGTGCTTAGTCCGGCAGTTCTTGGGGCATTTGTAACGACCAAGATTGTAAAGCCACAGTCATGATGTTCTTCTCAATGCGCATTCAACTTCATCCTTTTTGCTGGTTGAAACATTTATTGTAAAGGGAACTCCTTTACTTATGCTTTACCTGGTCTGGGGCTCACAGGTATTGAAGATGCGCAGGCCTTCATACAGGCTGTGCCAGACACGAAGTTATTGCCATTGCTCTTGCATCCACCATATGTAAACTGGCGGCAAGTGTTGGTCGCAGCGTCGTAGTAGAAGCGAGTGAAGGCAGCTCTACACGGACCACTGTATGGTGGCCTGCGGCAAATGGGCCATCCGTTTGGTCGAGATGCTGCAGGAGAGAAAACAGGATTGAACAATTCAGTATGGATGATGTTCACAATCGGACGTTGAATATATGTATGGAGCCCCACAAGGTTCCATTTTATGTCCTACACTTTTTTTTACCAGTAATGATATCGCAGCAGTACCCTGAACATTAGATGTTGTATCATATACCGACCACACGAACGTTTTCCCCTCGTGTAATAATATCTCTATAATTAATTATTTATAATTATTGGGCTATAATCACTATTGGTGTGATTATTCGCTAATGAACTCTGCTTAAATGTTAACAAGACGAATAATATGGTTTCTGCTTTATTATTGAGCGAGTTGAGTTTTTATATAATATTTCAGTCACAACCGATTGAAAGAGTTTCCGAGTACATGCTCATGGGAGTGGTTTTTTATGATAATTTGCGATGGAAGCCTTACGTTAACTACATTGAACGAGGTATAGCGCACATAACTGGCATTTTGAATAAGCATCGTGCGTTGTTACCATAAAAGCTTAAGCGTCAGCTGTATTTTTCTATTTTTTACTCTACAACTCAAACTCGCCTGCTTCTTTGGGGCGTGACTTCTAATACGATCACCTAAACCTTGATAACACTGCAGAAAAGATGTATTCATGTTATCTATATACTATATGAGAAGTCGCTTCTGAGCACTTTCAGCAGTTGTATTTTGCGCATCAGGAATATGTATGCAAAATAATTATCCAAAAAAATAAGCATTTTTAGAATTCAAGAGTACCGCGAGAACTGATTTGGGACGTATGTCATCGCCACAACCAGCTACACGTTATAACCTACGAACCTCGCTAAATCTAATACGCGAAACAACTACAGAAACAAATTATTACAACGGCAAAATTTCAATATCGTCGATGATGAGATGATGAACATCCACTATTCAATATTAGAGAACATTTTCTATGTCAACATTCAGAAAAATGTTAAAACTTTTTGCTTTGATCGAAAGCTATATATTTTCACCAATATTCTTTCCATTTAATCATTTGTTGTGTTCTTAAATATATTCATATTCATATGGATAGATTGATATGTGGGGTTTAACGTCCCGAAACCACCATATGAATGTGGGAGATGCCGTAGTGAAGACTCCAGAAATTTTGACCAGCTGGGGTTCTTCAACGTGCGCCCAAATCTGATGGCGCGGGCCTACAACATTTCCGCCTCCATCGGAAATGCAGTCTCCGCAGCCGGGATTCGATCCCGTGACCTGCGGGTCAGCAGCCGAGTACCTTAGCCACTAGACCACCATGGTGGGGCTATCCATATCCAGGGAGTTAGAGACTGTGAATATATATATGTATTGCTTTATTATTTTATTTTTGTACCTGTGTTGTTATCTGTATTACGGCGCGTGAAGGGAACCGCCAGATTATAGACTGTTAGTGATGTCACCGTGTTATTGCACATGCGCGAGCGGCCTGTGGGTGTATATACCCCGGCTCTTGTTCTGTTGCTGGGGGAATCGTTGCTTTGTGCTGCAAGCATGTATTACCGTAAATAAAGGTGTTCCGTAAAGCCTTGGCTTCCCTCTCTGTGGATCCAACAGTACTTATTTTGTCTATTGATCTTTTTATGTAGCACTAAACTAGTAAAGTTGTAATTCTGTCAGTTACGTAAAATCCCAAATATGTAAATAGGCCTGTGAGTGTTTGCTTTCTTTTTTTTTTCTTGAACTTGTCTGCTGCTGTCTGTTGCCCACTTTGTGTCACGAGCCTAGTCAAGCGTGTATGAAAAAGCCTTTTGCTCTGGTGCCATGACAACACATGTCTCACGCATTGCCAGAACTGTGAAGAAATTTTTAAACTTCAAACTTCACCACTTACATCAAGCTAAGATTGTACTTATAGAAGCTATAAGTAACTGGTGATGATTCGCAGGTGTATGCTAGGTGCCGGGACCTTGATATGGCCCTGGGAGCCATTTTCTTAGTGCAATCATTCGTTTGTATTTTCGGGTGACCTATTGTTTCTCAATATGGTTGATTGGGCAAGTTGGTGATACATGATTGTTTTGAAGAGAGAGCGCACTACTTAGACGCGGACAGAAAGGCAGTGATCTACTTTTATCATTTTGGTGCTCCCCACCCCCCAGTCCCACATAGGTGTTGCTGCAGGAGGGGGGAGGGGTGATAGTACCGAGCTATGAAAACAACCTATAGTACTCTGCAACGGAGAGTACAATACTCTGCAATTGGTATATGATGAGTTGCACTAACCAGTGGTGCTATATAAAAAAATGAAAGCTTTAGGCTCCACCAATAATACAGCAATTAACAAATGTCCATCACAAGCATAGAAGTAAACTGTCATACAACCAGAGAGATATATACAGCTTTATTTACATATATTCAGAGGAGAAAATTCGACCCGAGCTATAATTTGCTGTAGCCTGCTACTGTACGCCAAAGGACAAAACTGGGGAGGAAAGCTAGTGATTAACGACAATGGTAAATGATAGAGGCTAGTATACACAGCCTTTTCAAATGGAGTAAAAATGTGGTGTGGTATAGTTAAATTACAAAGGACCGTGTCTAAATATCTGCCAAAGTACTCACAGAGAAAACAAGATTCCATAGAAGAGCTATCTTCACAAGCTTCTTCACCAAGTACGCTGACTGTGCAACCAAGCAACCCACTTCGCCTCGAAAAGAAGTGGCGAAAAAACTTACCGTCAATGAATGTGGGCAATCCGTGTCAAGCAAGAGCTCGGTTTTGATTGGCACAGACTCGGCTGGGCGCCGCAAGTGCTTTAAGAGAGAAAGCGCTCTTAGCTTGAATACAGCCGCTGCCTGTGGCGGTTGCGGTAGTAGCTAATCACCTTGAGCCGTCTTTTATTTTTGCGACCACATAGTGCTAGCGTATCGTGGAACCTCCGCTTTTAACAATGCTTTGTCACAATATTTAATTTCATAAAGTTTGCTTCTCTCGATTTCGCGACGAAAAGCGAAGCGCGTAGAACGACGTGCGGCATACACAAGCAAGGTTTAGGAAATTGGAGGGGCGTAAGCTTTCGTGACTTTCCAAAAGCAAAGATGATGATGCGTTTTGCCTATACGTAGCACACGCACGCACGTGTACTTTAATATAGTTGGCTTAATTTTACACCAAGCAATATCTTTGTGAACTTTGATTAGTCACTACGGTTTTCATTAACGCAGCAAAGGAGTGGAACTAGGACTTACCGAAGGAAGATGATGTGAAGCGCAATGGGACCGCAGCTCTGGCTTTGCAACACGAATTTTTGTAGGTACCCGTGAATACCTTTGTGACGCGTCATGTGCTAAATTTGCAAAGCATTACTGTTTTAACAAGTGCTTATTCATTCATCTTTCGTTACTTCAGCTTGACCATGTTCTTGCTTATTCCGTTTTCCAGAACCACACTCAAGGCTGTCCGTCTTCTAGCTTCATTTCAGATAGCTTCCTTTTTGGGTAACTTCATTTTACAGTAAACTATCAGTTGAAATTTCGCGTTTGTCGCCATATTTTACAATTTTTTCTCAGCTTTCCGCGCTCATAGACAGAGATCATTTGGTACCAACCACCCGAAACCAATTTCCCTTTGATGCGCATTATTCACACTTCACGCTTGAATGCTACAGCCTACACCAACGTTCCTGTAAGGCTGCAGGTGACACTCATCTCAGATGCACGGTGGTGCGTGTTATGCTGAAAATCGTATGCTGTTATCGTTCCCCTTACGCCCTTGCTTCAACGACACAGGCATTACGCCATCTGGTACCGACTATACGAAACCACTTTCTTTCCAAGTCACATTAAAGTCACTTCAGCCTCCATGCAATGACTTTGTATTTACTGGTATTTCTTTGTAGAGCTTCAGAAGGCACTTACGTCGCAAATCACTGCTGTGCCAGTTCAGGTGTAAATTGAAAGTACAGGCCGTTCTCTTGAGCCGCCATTAGGATGCCGAAGATACAACACCAGTGAATCCTCAAAAACCATGAATGTTCCTCATGAATTCAGCCTTGTTGCACACAGAATTAGTGATTATTATGAATTAATTAATAAAGGCCCACTTTTTTCAGAAGCACAACTCAAAACAAAGGAAACACTGCCATAGGAACTGCGAGCAGAAATACTCACCAGGCAACATTTTTTTAGTCAGTCCTCTGAAGGCCAGGACAGGTTGCAGTGGCGTCAGATTGGCTGAAGACCAAAAAAAAAAAGGCAATAGCCTGAAACAGCTGCCTCTAACAAGTATGCAGAGGTCGTTTGCGTAATCTAGAAGTCTCGTTCAGAAGCTCCAAACTGAAAATTTCTTGAATGCTTCAATTTACCGCCTCTTTGGAGTTCAAACTACCCCGCATTTGGTGTAACGAGATATAAGAACAACGTAACCTCAATGCCACTTAGACCATAGTTCAGCAACTTGTGCTACAAGGGCCACGTTTGGCCCTCGAGGCAGCATTATGACGTCCGCTGCGCAACATTATAACTTCTCCCTTATCTTTGGCACTTGCTATCTAAAGGCCGACTTCGTGATTTCCGACACGAAATGGAGCTGGCGCTTGCAAACTGTTTGTAAAAGGCCCTATGGCATACGTTCAGAATACAGGCAAGGTTGATATTCCAGTTTAGTACAGTGCCAACACACCCTTTTTATGCTTTCCTTTAGCGCATACAACCCCCCCCCCCCTCCCGTCACTTTGCTGTGCGGCCCCCGCTCTGTTCACTTCATGCAAAATGATCCTTCGCCTTAAAAGCTTAGCGAGCCCTGCCTTAGATGGTTCGTATTTTATGATGACTACTATATACACATTTGTGATACATAGCATGCCGGAGCCAGTATGGAGAGTCAAACGTTTTCTAATATGCGACTCGATTGCAGTAATTATTGCTGGAAACTGTACAGCCATGAAGCTGTGATATATCATTTTTTAACAAAACGTTCACACGGAGCCACGCCTGTTCCTGGATCCATTCAACAGTGAGTTCGGGTTTTTTAATGATACTGCTATTAGGATTCCGCAACCAATCAGCACTATTTTCATTCGCAGCACCTTAATTTTACCCCTACTACAGTCTTTAAGAATGGTATCAATCGTAGTTTGTTTGAAGTGAGCTGTCATTTCACTATATAGCAATCCAATTTTTCACGTGCAATGCATTATGTAGCCTGACCCCCCACTTATATTTTCTCTTACGGTTGAAATTTATTATCACTCTTGCTTTGTTTTCTTAACTCATTTATTATTCTTTATATTATCGCAATAAAAAAACTTTGAAGGATTATTAGCTCTGATTTGCGTTATGACAAAGAATCTTTTTTCGGCGCTTTACTTTACCAAATTTATTTTGGTCTAGTCAGTATTTTGCTCGTGCGTTACACTGTATGCACGCTATGCATCGTCACAATATGCGTTCAGTATCTCATCATTTGTGAACAAAAGATTCCACTATGGTAAATCAGCGATTAAGAACCTGGGCTGATGAGCCGAGGGTTGCAGTTTCAATTTCGACCATGATGATCGCGTTTTGGAGGAGACGAAATGATAGAAGCTCGTGTACTGTACAATGTCCGTGCAAGTTAAAACACACCAGGAGGTCAAAATATGAAAATCCCCCACTATAGCGTTTTTCAAATATATCGTGGTTTTGTAGGGTAAAACAGCATACATTACTATACTTTTGAAACTGGCATTTAAGAAACAGTTCTGGTGGCAGTCGCAAATGTTTGCATTGTGTAGGTTCCGTTTGCACGATCGGCCCTCTATATATTCTATTTGTCTCCCTCTCGGGCATAAATAGTAGTTTTTTCACTTTGTTTTGTCCATTGAACAAATTAAAACGCTGCATAACAAATACAAACTCATGCACAATATTATGTAATTTTATTTCGTTTCATAATCAGTGGTTTCAGTGTCTGTTTGTGTGCGTACGATATACGTACATCTATCACAGTCTAAGTATAAAAAACACGTGTGCATCACATCTGCCCTATTTACCTGTCATTATAAGTGATAGGTGTCGGAAGGCCGGGGGGTGACAGCCGGCCCCTCCTACGTTCATGCATGGCGTACTACCTACTGCAACAAAGGTCCATGTACCCTTCTAAATGCCTTTTTGCCCTCGCTCCATTCGGAGCTGAATATGACGTTTTTACTGGTGAAGAACAACTCACTGCTTTCTTCAGAGCATGTCTTCTCGCAGAGTTCTTTGGTTTCAAAATTGTTCGCATTCCCGGCGCAGCCGCCAAAATAGAACTCTTCGCACTGCCCTGTCTCTACGTTGTACCACCATCTCAGCAATGGCATTCTGCAGAATCCTGGGTGGGCGGGCAGCTTGCATCGCTCAGGGATGCTGGAAGCCCCTGCAAAGAACAATAAGCAAACTTGAACGTTTACGCCATGGACATAAAATAGAACTCGAAAACGAACAATGCTGCCGAAAGCACCTTTTACAAATCACGCGTGAGTCTGTCATTGGATAAGTTAAAAGCAAGCTGGGGCTAATTTTGCCGGTAAAATGCATTATACTAAACTAACAATAACTCACTTGGAGTGCTCGAGAACCACACTGATCTTTTGACTGCAAAACTGCTACTTTATTTGCGTCTGTTCTCTCCTTGAAGTAGCGCGCAATTTGCCAGGACGTGGTCACGACGTCACCTGCTGAGACGTGTCTCTGATTGTCCACAGTTTCACTCTATGCTCAACGATTTGTGTATGGTTTCAACTAATTGCACCACATCGGTAAGCGTTTTAAAAAAGAACTCGGTACGTGTGTGCTAAACACGTCGTAATGAGTGAGCTGAACTTCACTCCGACGGGTCGCATCAGCAATGTTTGGGCTCTGAAATGCTGAGTACTTGTAACGTGCTTCGTTGAAGTAAACTATTAAGGCCCACTTCAAGAGCAGCGGTCCTTCTCTTATACGCTGCACAGCGTCGCAAATACGGTGGATGGTCGCCATTACAGTATAGGTAAGGAGGCTTTTCGACGTGGCTGCCGAAGGTGTCGCATTTGGCCTTGTTTACTAAAAAACTAGTTTGACCATTCTAGCTTTGCGAACGCGAGTTATACTTTGCGCACTTGAGCAACGTACAATTGTTCTGACAGGCCATAGTTTTTCGTGTATCTTACATGGATACAGTCCGGGAGATAACTGGGAGAGGGCAATGGTCCCAGGTCTTGTATTGAAGTGCTCTTTGAAATTGGTACGCTACAGCTTACATATTCACAAGAGCACTCATCTTTTTAAGGCTTTCTACTGCTTTCAATTGCAGTTTTGATGAAGACAAGTTGGCTGCAGAGACGAATTTTCAAATGCTCACAAATTTTCCACACCTTCGTGCTTCCATTTTCTGTAAACTTGTGAGGTTTTTTTTTTTGTTACGCACAGTGCGTAAAATCAGCCTAATTTTTTCGATTTTTTCAAAAATTTTGAGACAGGTCTTTCCAGCATGTATGTGTACGGTCAATCTGCGTTTGCCAATTTGTCGCATTAAAACAACAAACTGGAAAGGGATAGGACAGGAAAGTAGAAGATAAGCACGAGTGTAGATAAGCTCGAACAGAGCGATATCACTAGGCTTCCGCTGATTTCCCCATTGTGTGTCAAGCCCACGTGAAGCCAGACGCAAAAGGGTGCATTGCTTTTGCCATTTTTGCCAAATAACCTTGATTTCAAGAACACTTCGCTAGGGGTTAGTCACATACAGCTACGCGCAGGAATGAGTACCGACATTTTTCTCCGTTTGCTGGGGTTGCCACGCTCTCCCACACACACACACACACACACACACACACACACACACACACACACACACACACACACACACACGCACACACACACACACACACGTTGTGGTGCGTATGCTTCAAGATCATCACTCGTTTATTGTATTAAGCTATGGCTAACAAGTTCCTATACTCCCCATCAAAAGATGGCCCTTTAGTTGTGAATCGGTGATGCCAAGTTTGGAAGTGCTTAACATAAAAATGGCACTGCATAATAATACTTAGTGATGAGTAACTGTGGGTACAAATTGCAACTCATCATTACTGAACTGGACAATGAGAGCAAAATTATCTGAAAATTGATCTTCAAAAAACTAATGTAAGGCACAAAAGCTTTAGAAGAGAACATCACTTTGTAGCAGACAGCGATGCACTGGAACGGCTAAAGGAATGAGCGCACGTAGCAGAGGCAGTGACTGCAGAGGCTAACCTTAATACTGGCTGTACTTAGAAGAATGAGAATCGGGTACATTCGGCAGGCGTTTTCAGATCATGAATGATAGTTTACCATCATGAATCAAGAAAGGTATAAAACAACTGCAGCTCATCCTATAGTTGCCTATGAAGCTCAGACCTGCAGGCTTACAGAGAAGCCCGAGTTTCAATTGAAGAGGGCCCAGTGAGCAATGGTAACGAAATGATAGATTTACCCTAAAGATGGCCTTCCAACGCTTTTCGAAAAAAAAAAACATTCTATGGCTTCACTAAAGGAGTTTATTGCTTAGTGAACAAACCACCACAAAAAATTTGGGAATTCATAGAGTGCTAGCGGAATTATATCTGTCGCTAGGTCTAATTGCTTTCTGCCTCTTTTTTTTTTTTCATTCCGACGAACACGCTCGAGGGTGAGCTGGGAGATGTAACATTGGAGTCAAGAAGTTACACCACGCTACATCATGAACCTGATCATTGTTTCTTTTTATTTTATTCAAACACGCGACTAACCATCATTCAGCACGCTGGGTTCAGTAGCTATGCTGCCCATAATGCTCGAATTAGCCAAGAGCCGAGAATTCGCGTGTATGGTGGAGTCATATATCACATCGTTCATAAAGAGCAGAGTGAGCGATTTTCGGCTGATTTGTAAATTACAGGCCTTGTGCGGGGTTACGATGCTTGCCTCGCCTGTTCACAGCAGTTCTGAGTACCAATCGGCAGCGTTTCATGGTCATGCTGAAAAAAAAAAATGTTATTGGGCGCGTCCGCTCAACAAAAGGACAAGAACAAAGAGCGGGTCAGTGAGCTAACATGATTAAGCTCATTATAGTCCTAATGAAGGAGATGAAATGAGCATGGGGCAAGGCATGTAGCGTGTGTGCAAAATAGCCGGGAAGAGTGAATTCCACGAGAAGGAAAACGCGAAAGAGTTGGGAGGAGGGGGGGAGGGGGGTTGCTGAAGACTTTAGCATCAGGTGAATAAGTGGGCGTATGAGATTCGAACGTTTGCGGGTCTAACGTGGCAGCAGCAAGCGTACGATCGTGGGTTGATTGATGGAAACACGAAGAGGCTGGTATTCTGTAACGAGTCCAGTTTGGCTTATGTTGATGGTGGTTATTCCTGTAGCCTGGTAGCTCCAACATTCGGCCATATTTGCATATGTCTTGAAATACTCTTTCAAATAGCTGAAATACACATAAAATAATAATTCACGGTTATACTGAAAGCAGCATTCAAGAATCTGTGAGCAGCAATGGGACCCAATAACGTTTACTGAAACGTTAAAAATAAAAAAAATATTTAAGGTCTCGCGTCCCAATACCGCAATATGATAAAGAAAGACGCCGTAGTGGGGGGCTTCGGAAACACCGACCACCTGGGGTTCTTTAGCGTGTACCTAAATCTAACCAAACGGGCCTCAATCATCTCGCCTTCATCGAAAAGGAGGTCACCGCGGCCATTTACTGGAGGGTTATTGCGTTTCGCGCGATATCTTGTCTTTTGTAGCCCAAAACAATGCCATGGTGGCGACAAGTAAACGAACTAGAAATGCCTAAGTGCACTTTTGTGTTAACGCAAGTTCAATTTTAGGAGCGCCAGGGTATTAGAAAAACGCTGGAGATAACATACCCGTCAGAAGGCATATGAGGGGCGGTCACGTGTTTTTCTCTATTAGGTGCACCTTGGCAGAAGGGTTGAGCTTCAGCAAAAGCCTTCTGACTATCAGGTGCACCCCAACAGTTTTTTTGTCTGTCAGCATAAAATTTGGGGCGTTTAAGGCAGACTATTGGTTCGGAATAGCAAACTCAGCAGTAGTTCGTGACCTTTGTTACGATAACAAAATAAAAATGGCTCAAAGATAAAATTAATATTGTGATCAGTGCGACGCACGTACCAGCTTAACATCAGGTGCCTGCGGAGCAACTTCACTGCTTTTTGGTTGGAATATTTAATAGATTTGAACGATTGCCTATGAGTAAGGTAAATTCCTGTGACTTCAAAATCAGACGCGAATTATTCGGGTGCTACACGACTTAAAACAATAATGAGGCTTTTGAACCTGATTTTTTTACTTCACGAAAGCAAAAGATTTGCCTTCAAGCTTATTGCCTGAACATTTGAAAACATCGCCAATGGTACAAACGAAGGACATGACTACAAAAACGCTATATTTCATCAATGCTAAGGTTCCATAGGAGCATCACCTTTTAGGGGCAACGCAAAATGGTAATTACACTGGAGAACGCTCAAGGTTGTTTGAGCATCCTAATGGGACAAATTAAGGCGCATACCACCTATGCTATAAAAATAAGTTCATATTTCATAGTATTTTCAAATAAAAAAATATCAGGCCTTCGCGCAATGCTGAACACAGTCACAGCAAGAGCTGGAAAAGCATCATTTCTAGAGCCCATTTTAAACTCTCTATAGGCTACTAATACAGGACCACTTTCAACACTACTCAGTCGATTACATGGCTGGTGACAATGAAGAATTATGGCTGAGCCCTTTGAAATGGGTCGGAAGCACTCAGCAACCCACTCGTATTGTGTGACGCCTGGTGTGAGCGGGTTGTTATTTTATGCTTATACGACATTATATTGCGTATGCTAGCGCTTTTCTTTGCCGACATAACGCTGGCATTTGGTTTTTGCGCACAAGAGTTTCGAGCACCAACATGATCAGTGGCAGAATGTCGGGCTCGTACAGACAGAACTTAGGTTCAAGCCTCCTTCCACACTGAATTTATTCCGTTTTAGTTTTCCGTCTTATTTCGTGAAATTTCGGTTACGGAGACCGGGAAAAGTGAAGGCAATAGCAGTGGGGAAGGGGGGGCGGCAGCGGACAGCTAAAGGCATTCGTGTTGGGATCTCATACATTTTGCCGTAAAGTGGGGTCCAACTATAATCAGCATTTACCCGCACTTCTCGATAAGTAGTTAGAAGCATCTTGTGTATCTAGATACCGTAAACACTTTAGAAATGAATTCAAGAGAGGTAGAGGTACACAGTAAATAAAAAACTTTTGTTTGGGGAATAATAACAGCGTTTCCAAGTAGAAGTGAAGCCCATTCTTCAGGGCCCCACCGGTTCGAGCCTTTCCACATTCCCGTCGTAACATCCAAGCTCTATAGGTTGACGAGAAACCACTCGAAACAATTTCGGAAACGACCCCCACCATCATGTATCGCAAAACGGTAGCGTGGGGACGATGGAAGATTTTGCGATGAAGAAATCCGTAACGTTGACATATTTAATTTAAAAAATCATAAGAGTTGCTTGTTGACGTTTCCACAAGTGGCTTTGCCATTCTCAAGGCTTGACTCGTCTTCCGCAAGGCTAGTTTTAGCCTTTAGGAAGATGAGTCCGATTCTCGAAATGTCGCCTCTAGAAAGACAACACCTGTTCGATTACCACGCTTGATGATAATTTAGTACACATGCACAGCAATCTATCCTGACATTTCGTCACTCTCCTGATCCGTGAATTAGGTACACTTACATGTCGGCTTCAATAAAAAAAAAAACAACTGGGAAAGAAGCTCAAACGACTGAAAACTTCACTCCGCACTTTTTACATGCAGCGCAAGGGAAAATTTTCGGAACACATACCTAGTGCAGTACTGACGAAGGCTAGAAGAATGTAGGACTTCATGTTGCCGTTAGCGTTCAAATGACTGCGTCACCTGCTTTTTGAAGAATTCTTTTATAGTGTGGGGCAAGTGTATCAGGAAATTTTCCAGTACACTATCTCGGGGAACGTATTACGCCATTAAATGGCAATATGCGATTGCTGCCTTAAACAATGGAACAAGATAGTGCGGGTAGAATCATCGCTGTGCTGTCAGAACGTCTAAGCACAACGATATCAAGGAAACAACTGTAGCCACTAGTCCACGCAGGACGCTTACTGTCGTAGCTATATAGATTTGATTCACAGCAAAACCCTTGGAAACTTGCTTCATTTTTATGCGGTCAGGTGAACTAAGCGGTCACATGCGAAGGTTTCAGCAAGGGAAGTATTGACGAAAAAATAGTAACTGATTATTGAATATAGAAGCTCAACAGAAATGCAGACATTTGTATGATTAGTACCTTTTTTGTAAGAATTGTAACATGCTATGGTATGAGTGGGCCCGTTCACAATCAACATTTTTTCTGCACTGCTTCTGTTACCTGCATTCCTTATTTTTCTGCTCGCTTCCGGTCTTTGTTACGCATAGTAATAATCTCGGGGTAGATTTAATGTGAATTACGAATGCTTACAGCTAAGTTACAAGAATAATTAGGCGCAAGGGAAAACCTCAACATCAACGGGCTACTGAGGATTTGGCGGCCTTCACACCTAAATTACTCACAAACATTCTAATGCATTTATTTGCGAGACTTTCTAGCCTTCATGAAAAAAAAACAAGACTGCTAAAATTTACGTGCTTTTGAGACAGGTCCATTATTGAAGTGTTCTGGTGTAATGTAAGTTGCATAATTACTGTGCAGTTTAGAAAGACATATTAGAAAGCGGTAATAGGGCAAATAATTCAGCACTCGCGCTAATAAAGGCTTACCTGTTTATTTTGGTATAACTTACGACCAGCAAGCACATTAACGAAAGTAAAAACAAGTTGATTTGATTGATATGTGCGGGTTAACGTCCCAAAACCACCATATGATCATGAGAGACGCCATAGTGGCGGGCTCAGGAAATTTCGACCACCTGAGGTTCTTTACCGTGCACCCAAATATGAGCACATAAGCGTACAACATTCCCGCTTCCATCTGTAAAAACAAGTTCCGACAAAAGCATATTGCTGTGGGTGTCCACGGTCATTGGCCTGTTTTATGCATGCGTTTCCAGATATTCATACGTCATCCCTGGTGCTACAGCTATATACCTTCTCGAATGAACTTCTTCGCACGCATTTCGAGCAAAAAGTGAACAGACAGTGCGCAAGTGGAGGGAGTTTCTCACAATTAACTACTTCAAGCCTCAACGCACATGAAAATTTTAAGCACGGATGGACGTTCTGAATAAGAAAAAACCAAAAAGGACCGTTTATTCAATTTTTAGTACAGATTCGTCACGCGTGGCGAACGTGTGAGATGCACATTCCTTTCTTTGCGAATATTTCAGTTCTTAAGTGCTGGAATTTCCGAAATCACCGAATGATAAAGAAACCATAAAATGAAAGCGTTACTACTGTGTCATTTACTAGCTGCATTTACTACCTACCAGAAAGTAGTCGCAGAAAGTTGATAAATGTGCTTGTATGGTGGTTTTAATCTTGTAACTTAGATGTACACATTCGTAATTTACATTGAATCGTACTCCAAGAATAATACCAGCACAGGCAATGAATGTTTAGTTAGTGATATATCGATGAAATCATTGTAAAGGGCCGAGTACATGCTTTCTCAGCGTGAAGCAGTAAACAGAGGGAGGCATGCTGCTAAGCTCCTAACCACGGGCAAAGTATGCGGCACCCCTGACCAAAAGTCACGGCACTGCACACACGCACACATGACCACGTGTTACATGCTGATGCTATTTCTAAAATCCGAATCAACGAAGTAACCTATATATGTTCAATAAACAAATCGTTGAAACTGAGCATTGGAGATTTTTTGTTGTTGTTGATAAAACAAGACATTACCTCCACATTGCATTCTTTTTCACACTGCTTTGACATACTCATTGAGGTTATGGGATCAGAACTAACCCTAAAATTACAAACTCACCATAAGCTTTCTTCTCATATACTACAGTGAGGGAAAATTCAGCGGTACCTCGTAAACTTACGGTTTAAAACAGGCACGTTGTCGGCATGACCAACACCCCAGTCGGTGCTGTTCGCGTGCTGCTCAGCAACATGCAGACACCAATAGCTCGAAGCGTCATGAAACTTCCAGACACCATCACTCCAGTTATAGCCATTCCTTCAGAAGTCTGTTGCTTAAGAACATGGTAAGCATCACTATGGATCCACCATCGACAAGCTGTTGGGTCCATGGGAACTGGCATGCAGGTTGCGTAGTGCAACACCGAGTGCACCGCTCTAAAGTCACTGAACTGACTCACCGTCTGTGGTGTCGAGCGCTGTACTGGCGCTACGCCAATGGCAGAAATGACTTTGATGTTTCACATAAAAAACAGCGCCAATAACGAGGGACAAGAGAAGAAGGAGAGAGACAGCGGCAATGTCTGTCTCCTTCTTTTCTTGTCCCTCGTTATTGGCGCTGTTTTTTATGTGAATCACCTCGTAATAACTCGCCCAAGCAACCACGTTAGTGACTTTTATATCTTCTATAGGCTTTATTTCTCTTACCCCCTTCCCCCGTGCAGCGTAGTCTAGCAAGGCTCATTATCGTAATCAGCTTGTTACGTTCACTAAAGGGCAAAAGCCTCTCCCATGTTGCGTCAATCACCCTGGTCCTGTGATGTCTGCTGCCAAGTTGCACCTGCGAACTTCTTATCTAATATGCCCACTCAATTTCTGTCTCCCTCTCGCGCGTTTACCTTCTTGAATCCTCTCAGTTACTCTTAATTCTCATCGCTTATCCTGCTTGTGGGGTACGTGCCCAAGCCTTGCAAATTTCTTCTTGATTTCAAAGATTACACCCTCAACCTCCGTTTGCACCCAGACTCACTCTGCTCTCCACATACTTCTCGAGCTTACACTATTAATTTTGCTTTCTATCGCTCACTGCACCACTATGAATTCCGTTTGAAACCTCTTTGTAAGCCTCAGGTTTCAGTTTCTTAGGTATATACCGGTAAGATGCATCTGTTATAGACCTTCCTATTGTGCGATAGCGGTATACTACCGCTTTATTTAAGATTGCTTGTCCAATGCTCCATCCCACGTTGCTTCTTCTAATTATTTCACAGTTATGGTTCGGATCCGCGGTTACTATATGTCCTAAGTAGGCCTGTTCCTTTGAAAATCCCAGCGTCTCCCCAACTATCGCAAAGCGCTGCTCTCTGCCAAAATTGCTGCATGTGTCTTTAGTTTCATGTCGATTAATTTTAGGCCTACTCTTCTGCTTGTCAGGTCAAGTTCAGTAATTGTGACTGGTGATTCGCCCCCTAAGATACTCCTTCATGCATTGCCGATGGTGAACCGCAAGTTACTCAGGTAATTTGAGTGCATGTCTAAATGTTTCTAAGAATGTCCTCAAACCAGCTCGCCGAACTTTTCATATTATTACTGATGTACTTTTTATTAGCTCTTGTCCCCAACTCTTGCCAGTCTACAGAGCCCTGAAAACGTCCCGTAAACATGTCATAAATACCATTAAAGAGGTGGTGCTTCGCTGCCTTACAGCTTTATTATAAGAATTCTGTCTTTTTTTTTTCTTTCTGCAAGACTATAAGCTACTGTGAATCCGCTGTAGATTTTTTGCAGTGTATTTATGTAGGGTTCATCAGTGCTCTGATTCTGTGGTGCCTGCATCTCTGCTAATTTCTCAATTGAGTCAAACGCGTTCTCGTAGTCTAGGAAGGCTCTGTATATAGATTTGTTGTATTTCGTGCATTTCTCTATCACCAGATTGATAGGATGACTACGGTATATTGGTATGTAGACTGTGAAAAGTTTGCTTCATACTTTGGTAGACTGAACTGTAATGACTTCGAAATTTGGTTAGCTATTATTTTTTCAAATATGCTGTAGAAAATGAGCAGTATTCTCTTCAGCCTGTAATTTTTTGAAGTCTTTGTAGTGCCGTTTCCTACGAATTAGGATAATGTTGATCTTTCTCCAAAATTATGGTACCATTTTTACCAAGACACACTTTGTTCATTTCACATCTGTTCAGTTTATGACATTAAAGGCCCACCTTTCTTGGAGGGGCATTACATAAAGGGTGGGGTTGTATTTGGGTTAACAAACGCAATGAACGTGATTTTAAGGCTGGTGCACACCGGCGACTAGCAGCGGTTGCGCGACCATTTGCGACTGGTGACGAAAAAGCGACTGATGTTCCCACCGGCAGAGGCTGCATGCGAGCGACCGGAAGTCGCAATACCGGAGAGTCACGTCCATATCTCGTTATCAGTGAGAACTCCGGAGACCGGCACCGATCAGCTGATCACCGCCAGCTGAGTGAGCGAAGCAAACAGAGCGCGCCGCAATTCTTGTTTTTATCCGTTCTCGCCAGCGCAACGAAAAAATTGAGCATCGCTGATTGGTTCCAGCAGCTTTGCGACCGCAGTTGTGCGACTGCAAAATCGGTCAGGAAGCGACTAGCCAAAGCAGTCGCTTTGCGACCGTTTGGGACCGTTCGCGACTATTTGGGACCAGTCGTAAATGGTCGCGTGACCACTGCTAGTCGTCGGTGTGCACCAGCCTTTAGTGTTGAAGCTGGTCAATAATACAATCTTGAAAGGCCGATGACGAGGCGATAGTGACGATGTCCCGAGGAAGGCCATTCCAGTCCCTGTTTTCTCGAAAAAATAAGGATGCAGAAGAAGCACTACTGCGAGATGATGGGTGGGCAACCTGAAACAGATGACTATTTCGATGAGGTACAGGTGTTGCAGCTGTTATATAGGGTGATTGGTTGAGTGAGGAATGAAATAATTTGTGCTAAAGCATGAGAGTGGCAGTGCGGCGACGCACAGAAAGGGGTGGTAGTCCAGATTTTGCTTTAAAAGATAAAATACTGATATCGTTTGAGTAGGATGAGTGACTGAATCTGGCGGCACGCTT